AAAAAAAAAAAGAAAAAAAAAGAAACCAAGATGTGAAAGTTGAAATAACAAAATTCTATCCATGCTTTATTGTCTGCGTCATGTATTTCGGATGCACACTCCTATTCACGCTCTGCCTCCTTTACAGAACCACATTCATTCATTGGTTGTGGTGGTGGGCTTTCTTTGTTTGCCAATCCAGGTTCGGGTTTTTCTGCCAGCCACTGAAGGAGCACCGACGAAAATCGATGTTCCGGAATCATTCTACAACCTTGCGCCAGCGGAGCTGAAGAAAGAATTTTTCACACGCAAAAAGCAGCTTGAAGACTCACAGCTACTGATTCCAAAATCATACCGGGAGAAGATGGCGGCCGCCAGCAAGCGACAATACAAGGCCGCTATTATCCGTATACAATTCCCAGACGGGATGGTTCTTCAGGGTGTCTTTGCTCCTAAAGAACGTGTATCAGCCATCTATGAGGTAGTTCACATATTCCACATCTCTCTCTCTCTCTCTCTCTCTCTCTCTCTCTCTCTCTCTCTCTCTCTCTCTCTCTCTCTCTCCCCCACGTGCATGTGCACCCCCCCCTTCCCCCCCCCACCCCCCCCCTTCTTCCTACCTATGTCTCCCTAACTCACATCTCTGTGTGTGTGTGTGTGTGTGTGTGTGTGTGTGTGTGTGTGTGTCTGTGTGGGTGGTTGCATGAAATGCATTAGGGTGTTTTCTGTACTAGGGACTTTGTAAGAAATTGAATCTGGCTGTGGTTGTCATGTGATACGTTTGTGTGATGAACGGCACCCATTTGCAGAATACACGCTAATGCGGGCAGTGCCACATGCATGCACAAACACACACATATTCACTTTCCGAAACTGCACAGGGGGTGTGCGTGGGGGGCTGGCGTCTTCGAAACGTAGATTGCTAGATTGCCATCATTTGTTCCATCAAAATGATTTTTGAAGCACAGGGCAACGAAATGGGTGTGGCTCATCACATGAAACGGTATCTGTCTCTTATACACATCTAGATGTGTATAAGAGACAGGTGTATATGCAGGTGCTGTTAATTAATTACTTGT